GGGGTGGGGCTAGGGTGGGGGGTCAAGGGGGAGGGTTAGGGGAAGTAGGAACCGTCGTTTTTACAAACGAAGCACCGTAGGTACTCCAAACGAACTGGTGTAAGCAAATGACACCAGCAACATTGGTGTCATTTTAGACTTACCGTATATATATATATATATATATATATATATATATATATATATATATATATATATATAAACTTTATGGATTTGGTATATTTTGGTCTTAACACAAAGATGACTAATATATGTATCACATATATATATTTTGGGATGATTTCAACATATGGATTAACATATATGTTCATGTACGTATGTGATGAATGATTCGACAAGTCTAACGCAAAGGTACAGACCTAGAAATCATCGGCCGAAACCTTACGGATGAGCGGGAGTGGAAACAACATTGAAATTTGCCAACTTTGTCATTTCCGTCACAACTGGACAGCCTGCGGTATTTTGGGCATATCTCCATCGTTTCTTCACGAAATTGCAAACCGTTTGATTCTGTGGATTCCTAAGATGTAAGGCTATAACTTTCATATCGAAAGTATTTTGAGATAATGAATTTTAAATAGTGTAAATCGGACCTGAAGTTAGGGGAAAGTTGCTGTCCGGAATTTTGAACACTCCGGTGAACAACGGTTCCGACGATTAACCCATTAACTTCAATATTCCAACACCGAACCTTCTCTACGATACCTTCCGGATGTTCCTAATAATTTTTAGAGAGTTTATGGTGAGTTCTTGGAATGAAAGGTGAAGAAGGTGGTCCAACCCGAGGAGCTCGCCACCACTGGCGCAGTCCCGGTATTTTTGCCATATCTTCTTTGTTACTTAATAAAATTGCGAGCCATTTGTTGGGTTGGATTCGTATCGTCCGGGGCTACAACTTCAGTTCAAAAGGTAGTTCGAGATAATGGATGGAAAATTACAGAACTTACGTAGAAGTTGATGCTGCGTTTGGAACTCATGATTTGGAAACTATGGATGGTTTCTTCTTGTTTCTTCTTCTTCCTTGAACCATCTATGGAGGAGGGTGTTTTCTTCTCTCCTTGAAGTTGCCGACAGTGAGAGAATGGAGAGAGGAGAGATAAGATGATGGTGGAACATGATGATAATGAAGATAATTGTGGTGGTGGAGTATTATAACATAATACTTTGGAAGTATTATGTAGGGAGAGACTTTAGGTGGCTAGTGGAGCAAAAGTGGAGCTAGGAGGGGCTGGTCCGTGATTTGGAAGAGATTTGATAATTTAAGTTTTGGCTTTTTGCCAAAACTGAAAAGTTTATTCCAAACGGTACGCGCTTTTTCGTCCAAACTGCTCCGAATTGAAAATGGATTGTATTTTTAGAATTAAACTGTCAAAACTAGAATTTTGACGTAACCAAAATATTTTTCTAAGAACTTTTATTTTTCTCAGTGTTCAGGTCTGTCTCTGTTATAAATTAATTTAATGAATGAGATAAAAATATACGAATTAAATCCAAATGATTAATATGATGTTATCAAGTGTCAAAAATTAAGATTTCTAATTTTATGAAATCACTTTTGAATTGAGTTTATTTTTATGGGTCAAAGTTACAAATTTTAATATTTAAAAAATCGTCATAGTTTGAAATTTATAAATCAGATGAATTCATAAAATGTACCGTTTGATTCGTCTCTTCGAGACATATCCATAAAAATAAGTTTTTAACAAAAAGTCATTATTTTGAAAATCCCTTTATTTTTTGTCAAACGTATAAATATTCTTTATTGGTCAAAATGATAACAAAAATTACTTTTGTTTTATAATAAATTTTAGGCCATATTTTGTGGCGTTACAGAACTCCCTCACAAGGAGTTTGACATTATACTTGGCATGGATTGGTTGTCAAAACACCAGGCTATTATCGAGTGCAAGGAACGAGTGGTGAAACTTCGTACAGCCGATGGTAACGAAGTGATCATTCGGGGAGAACTTCTACCGAAAGCTCCAGAATTCATCTCTTATATGCAAGCAAAACGGCTCATTCGCAGGAAATGCGAAGCATTCTTGTGCACTGTTAAGGATATGCAGAAGGAAACACCTAACCATAAGGACATATCTGTGGTTTGTGATTTTCCTGATGTATTTCCTGAGGAACTTCCAGGTCTACCTCCTTCAAGGGAAGTGGAATTCTCTATTGATCTTGTACTTGGTACAGGACCCATCTCATCATCACCTTATCGAATGGCCCCTGCAGAAATGAAGGAATTGAAAGCTCAATTGCAGGAGTTATTAGATAAATGCTTCATCCGTCCTAGTGTTTTCCCGTGGGTAGCACCTGTCCTTTTCATCCGTAAGAAAGATGGATCGATGAGATTATGCATCGACTATCGCCAACTGAACAAAGTCACGATCAAGAACCGTTATCCGTTACCCTGTATTGATGATCTGTTTGATCAATTACGAGGTGCAACCGTTTTCTCAAAGATCGATCTCAGATCAGGTTACCATCAGATTCTTGTGAAGCCAGAAGACATTCCAAACACAACATTTCGTACACGTTACGGACATTACGAGTTTACCGTTATGCCCTTTAGCTTAACGAACGCACCAGCTGTATTCATGGATCTCATGAATAGCGTCTTCAGACAGTATCTAGATCAATTTGTTGTGGTCTTCATCGACGATATCTTGGTATACTCAAAAACACCCGAGGATCATGCTGAGCATTTGCGCATCGTATTGAGTATTCTTGTAACACCCCAACTCGAATAACCAAATTACCTAGATTATTTGAGCCGGAGTAGTTACCATGATGATAAATACGCATGATAATTTGAGGAATAATTTAAAACCAATTTAAACTTTAATATAAATGATAATTTCAAACATAAAATTCAGAGTAAGGTTGTAACAGTGCGGAAGCTTAAATATAAAACATAATCAAATTCTTTTACATTATCTGGGAACTCGCCTGAAAAGGTATTTATTTAATTAAAGCATTATAAATATGGTCCACCAGTCCGTACATCTCGTCACTCTCATTGACCTCCGGGATGGGCTCCATGATCGGTATTGTTACCTGCGTGTAGCAAGTAAAACAAACTACACGCTCAGCGTTAGCTGAGGAATACGCTAATACAACAATTCCAAGTTGAATAGCAAGTAGACATATAATTATCATGATATGACATAATATAGCATGTATGTTCAAGATGAAGATGACAATATAAAATTAATGTCATATATAGTCATGATGATTTTACTTGATGTTGACTTCATGCTGTATGGTTCTAGTCAACAAGGAATGACCTTGCAACTATGAGATTCGCCCATTTGGTACGACGAACTCATGTCCTTCTTAGTCTCATGAGGGAGACTAGAAAAATAGGGGTGGTACTCGAAAGTCTGAATACCATGTACGTACACTAAGCCCGGTTAGGGTTGTCGGACTGCTAAGTCCCGCACAACCACGCTATAAGAGACGACACACAAGGCATGATCTCTTACGCATGCATATGATGTGATATGCTTCAATATGTACGATGAAATGAATCAAATGATATGAACAATTGTAAACATTATTAATATGTAATCATACATTAATTTATTTGGTTGAAACATGATAAAAATATCATTTAAATAAGCTACGGGGCTTGGAACGGTCAACCGTTCGGTGCGACGGTCGACCTCGATTTTCATCGCGTCGGGATGGCGAAACACCGTGACGGTCGACCGCGGTTGACCGGCGGTCAACCGTTGTTGACTGGGTGGCAACGCTGGTCCTCGGCTGGGCAGGCGACGGTCGACCGTTGGCCACCGGCGGTCGACCGTTTGTCTGACAGTCTTGCTCCGTTTCGATGTTTGATGCGACGGTTGACCGTTTACGTCGACCGTTCGGTCTGCAAATCCTATTTTTGATATTTTTGGATATGTAAAATACTTCTTTGAGTTATTTTAACACTTATGATTAATAAATCTATGTAGTTGAAGCATTTCTAATATATATATATATATTCATGAAAGGTAAAGTGTTGAGAAAAACATATTTTTAAGTTTATGAGTTTGATGGTTTGATCTTAAAGCATAAATGACTTATAATATGGCAATCAATCCTAACAATATATCTTTATTGATATTCAACCAAGGATTGCGTTACTAGGGTGCAATGTACTCGCCTTGATAACGTAGAGGTCGGAAAGATAGAAAGATAATAATACGCCTTAACGAACGTTCAACGTACGGTCACCCCTATCAACTTCAAGCTTCCGACGTTCAATCTTCTTGGAAATAACCTCTAGAAGTTCCTAATAACCACGAGAGAGTTCACGATAAGTATTTGGAAAGAAACGATGTGAGAGTGATGAAGAAACATGGCCAACCCGAGGAGCTCTCCACCACTGGAGCAGTCCCGGTATTTTGGCCATATCTCCTTCGTTACTTAACGAAATCGCGAGCCGTTTGTTGGGTTGGATTTGTAACATCCGGGGATACGATTTTGGTATAATAAACATTTTGAGAAAATGAACGGAAAATTTCAGAATTGACTCACAAGTAGACTGATTGTTTTGTGCTCAGGGTTTTGGAAACCTTGATGCTTCTTCTTGTTTCTTCTTCTTCTTCTTGGCTCAACAATGGAGATGAATGAAGTGGATTCTTCCCCCTTCCTGAACTGCCGACAGTGAGAGAGTGAGAAAGGAGAGTGGATATTTGTGAAGTGAAATGAGAATTTGCAAAGTGGAAGGAAATTTTTGGAGTATTATATTGGAGATTGGATTGTGGAGGTAGTGGGTTTCCTAGCATGTTCCTAGGGTGGCCTACTTGGAGACTTTGGAGATTTGGGTTACGTGATTGGGAGATTTGGGGAATAAAAATATATTCTCCTACTCCGTAACTGATAAACTGGCTAAAACGATACACGCTTTTTCGCCCAAACTATTCAAATTTGAAAATGGATCACATTTTTGGAATCAGACTATCAAAACTAAAATTTTGATATAATCAAATTATTTTTCTGAAAACTTTTATTTTTCAGTGTTCGGGTCTGTCTCAGTCATTAATTAATATTTAAATTAATTAATTCTTTTAGGCCTAATTTCGGGGCGTTACAATTCTCTCCCCCTTAAAATAATTTCGTCCTCGAAATTACCTGATTACTGGTCACTGAAAAGTTGTGGATATTGAGATCGCATGGACTCCTCAGTTTCCCAGGTTGCTTCTTCGACAGAGCGACTTCTCCAAAGTACCTTAACTAAGGGTACAGTCTTGTTCCTCAATTCTCGAACTTCTCATGCAAGGATCTCTACAGGTTCCTCTATATAAGACAAATTCTCGTCCAGAGTGACAGTCTCTGTTGGAATGATGTGAGAGGGATCTGATCTGTACCTCCTCAACATCGATACATGGAAAACGTCGTGAATCTTGTTTAGTTCTGGAGGTAATTCCAACCTATAGGCTACAGGTCCCACACGTTCTGTAACTCTGTCACCAACTCGATATCGCGTCGCTTGAGGTCTGCATAAGATTTCTGTGTGTCTGCTGCTATCTGAAGTCGTTCTCTGATCAACTAAACTTTCTCCTCTGTTTCGCGCACGAGTTCTGGACCCTCGAGTTTTCTCTCACTCAGCTCAGTGCAACAAACTGGTGTTCGACACTTCCTTCCGTACAGTGCTTCATACGGAGCCATTTCAATACTTGCCTGATAACTATTGTTATAGGCAAATTCCATTAGAGGAAGATATTTTTCCCAATTGTTTCCAAAATCAATGACGCACGCTCGCATCATATCTTCAAGAATCTGAATAGTCCTCTCAGACTGTCCGTCAGTCTGAGGATGAAACACTGTACTGAAATGTAGTTTGGAACCGAGAGCTTTTTGTAAGCTCTTCCAAAATTGGGAAGTAAATCGGGGATCACGGTCGGAAATGATGGACGATGGTACTCCATGTAATCTGACAATCTTGCGGATATACAGCTCAGCCAAACACTGTAGTGTAAAATCTCGCCGAATTGGTAAGAAATGTGCCGATTTTGTCAAACGATCAACAATAACCCAGACTGCACCATTCTTCCTTGGAGATAATGGTAATCCGATTATGAAATCCATCGTAATGCGGTCCCATTTCCATTCAGGTGTTGAAACACGGGCTTGTCACGTTTTCGTTTTTGTAATGCCGTGTTCGTTTTTGTAACAAGTTTTGATAATGCCAAACCGCCGTGATCAAGTCAAACATTGAATATACAAGGCGAAGAAGGAAGACAAGAACAAGAGCCAAAAGAAGACCAAGAACGAAGACCTTAGTCTTAGTGTCGTTGAGTCGGTCTTCAATGTGATCAAGACCGACCCAATCTTTACACCTTGGCTCTTTAGGCTAAAATCCTTCTTTGCATTTCTTAATCATAAAAAATGTTTTTCAAACTTGTTTAGGTCATTAAAAACACTTGGTATTCGCCCAAACCAAAAACCAAGCCATCCGGCGTTCGGGTTGCAGAAACCGGCGTTCGGCTCTCGGTTATCGGCGTTGGTTTTTGGCGTCCGAACCAACCAAGTGGTTTTCAACTTTTTATGATTGGTTTTCACTCTTTGGCATGTTTAAACGGTTCTCCAACAAAAACACCTTGAAAACCATCTTTCGCTTTTGGTCGTTTGACAAAAATCATTCAAAACGGCATAAACTTGGCTAGCCGTGGTTTTTCACTCAAATGACGTGGTTTTTAAAGTGTCTTACTTGATTTCTTAGCCAAATACATCAAATAAGTGTTTTAAACACTTGGTTTTTATTTTGGAGAACTTTGAATTTTTTTGTCGGTTTTTGCACCGGTTGGCTAGGCCGTGGTTAAGCCAAAAACCATGGGTTCTTGACTAACCACCCACCCAGCGATGGGAAGATCTTCCCATCGATGGGTAAGCGGTCCCTTAGCCAAACCAATTTCCAGAACCATGCCAAACAGCGATGGGAAGTTCTACCCATCGCTGTTCAAGCCTTGGTGCAAAATTATCACAAGGCAGAACGACCTTGCCCAGCGATGGGAA